GACAGCGCATATTTCTGCTGAATATATTGAATAGGAATAGATGAGATTTCAGTGTTTTGTATTAAGGTACAGAATGGCATACTGACCGACCTCCCCTCCTGAGAAAGAGAAGTGTATAATTATTATGCTTTAAACCCCCGGCCTTGACGTACCTGTTAATTAACACCAACACCAAGCCTGACGGGGCTCCTTCTCTTCCTGCATTAACCTCCCTGCACTGCCTTTCTCAGAGCTGTGGCAGGTCTGCACTGAGTCTAATTAGTTGTTCTGGTGCTGGTTCTTGGTTACCTGCTGAAACCCAAGAGGAATTTGCATTCAAGATCTCTTTAACTCCAGGTTATAAAGCCTAAAACCTTTTTGCCGAGCATGCTTGGATAGCTTGCTCATTGAAAAAGAAGGGTGTGAGGGGTCCAGTTCATTGTTTGCAAAGGCTGATTTGATTTGATTGTAATTGTCCTCCCCCATTCCCCCATCCCTCAAGAGCTATCAGACCTGCACAGGCACGCCACATAGCGTTGCTTTCAGCGTACCAGAGTCAAAGCATGGCATCGGGGGGGTGCCAAATAAAGGATTGCAGACGTGGTCTGGAGAAGACAAACCAGTCGGCCCTATTCCCCCACAAGGTGTGCAAATTAACAACCTGGGCTAGACAGCATTGCCAACAGGATGCACACAGAGACATGCCAAATGGCAACACTGTTCCAGCCCAGTTAGCACGGATGTGGGAAAGGCCCTTCTCTGAGGCAGCATTAGAATGTCACACATTGGCGCTTCTAGAAGCAGAGCAATCCTGCTCTGACAGGTGCATGTTTTATAATTACTTTTGGGTAAGCTGGCCCGCTGCGAGTCTGATAATGGGGTTCAGCTCCTCTGACTGGAACAAAGATGAAAGTAAGTAGGTTTATTTTTGCTGCCTTTAAGTGGTAGAAAGTATTTTAGTCCCTGCTGTGTAGATTTAAGTTTCAACAGGAACTTACGCTGTACCTTTTAATACATTTCCACTTGTGTTTTTTTCCCATTAGGGCCTTTCTAATCGGAGGACCAGACACTGATTTTAGTTTGCTTGAAAATTAACAAGGGCTTCGTGTTTAAAGGTCTTTGTATTTTGTTTTTAGAAGAGTGCATGCTGTGATTCTCTTTTTTTTAAGGCTTGTTGCTGCCAGTAGACCAAAGGATAATGAGACCACAGGCTTAATAAGATCCCTTCTATAAAATAAATCCCATTTGGATGTTAAACCGGAAAGGCCTAATGAGATGGGGACATGCTCACACACTATCATTCATCAGAGAGGGCACGTCAGCGTTTCATAGCAACTTACGTCCGCCTAGTTTAAGAATCGGGGAATTATTCAGAAGTACAGCAGGCATGAATTCAAGCATAGAGCTTACCTAATGCCTCTCTAAAATGCCAGCTTCTCTCCTCACTTCCTCGCCTGGCAGGACTTACTGTATTTCCAAGTGAGAAATATTTTGATTAGCTATCTTGGAAGCTGTCCGATTGCTGGATGTTGCTGGGCTGTGATTAGTGAACCAATTTCAGATTCATTTTTCTTGATCCTTTGTGCAGCAGAGTGGTGCGTGTGTGTGTCGAGGGGGCTTGCTGGCGGTGCTCGCAGCCGATCAGCATTGCTCCAGCCCTCCTTATCCATGGGCGGATCTCGGTGAAGCTGCTGTTCGGAGTTCGGATCTCTGTGTGGCGGTTGTGGGGTTTCCCCTTCTGAGCCCCAGATGCTGAAGTTAGCAGTGAGTTTCAAGCACACTCCTTTTTGCAGCCAGCGGCGCTGTCCAGAGTCCTGACGGTGCTGTGCGTCTCCCCATCATTCAGTCTTGCAGGCTTGTGGTTAATTTTCAGGACCAGTTCCAGCTTGAATTGACTCAGAAGCAGTGTGGTAGCTGATCTCAACCAGCTTTCCATGGGGCTGCTATTATTTAATGTTTCTCCTTTCCTTTATTGTGACACACAGGCTTTCCCTCCGGGTTTGATATGACACTTTCAGTAGTACTGTACCTTTGAAGATGTCCTTTGAGAGAGAAACTTGAGTAAGGTTCAACCAGACAGGATAAAAATTGTTTCCATGTGTTCAGGAAAGCAGTATCATACATGAAATCAGGCAACACTGTTTGGGTTTTTAATATTAATTTAACAAAACTAAAAAGTGTTCAAAACTTAAATTTCTTGTTGTGCTCACTTTGCTTTCTGTTTAATTAATGTATACTTTACATTATTTATTTCTTCTCTAATTCTTCTCTATTTTTTTCCTTCATCTGAGAAGGACAAAAAATGTGATTAATACCTTTTTTATTTTTTTCCCTCCTTCTACCACACAAGACTGTTTTGTCCCTATCAAACCAATAATTCATGCAGAATCTTCCTCATTTTGTTGTGTTCTGTTGGCACTGTCAGTTCATCGGGCGTCTCTTCTCTGAGGTGGAGTGGGTGTCTGACACAGCCCCAGCTCTTTCTGATCTTTGCTTGTCCCGTTATTGCTCGACAGAGCCCTCAGAACTTGCTTCACATCACAGAAACCTGAGCCCTTTCTGGCAGGGACTGCTTCACTGATGCCGAAAGATAACTCCATTAGGAAAGTGCCATTTTCCAACATAAGCAACTGTACTGTATTTTCAGGAAGGAGCTACAGGGTGGCTTTTAAAACATTTTGCACAGACAGGTTGTCTTTCTTCTGTCCCCACGTATGATTCAGCCTGAATTCCCAAACCATACACAAGCAGTAAAATTAAAAAAAAAGATCTAATTGATTCAGTTTCACAAGCTCACTAGATTCTGACCATGAAAATTTACTTCTTAAAAACAGGGGAACAATGCAGTGGGAAAATAACTCAGTCCGAATCCTGGATGCGTAATCCATCCCAGACCGCTCCCAAGCAAATTCTGGTGGCAGGTATGGACACAGGTCTGCTGCCAGGGGTTATTTCTCTGTGTATCTCTCGAGCTCACATTGCTAATGCACTTAGTTCTCCCTTTCTTTGGATTCACAGCCACTCCATTCTGGCTTAATCAAATCAAGCCCATTTCTCTGAAGCACAGTGGGAGAACTCCAGAGCCTGCGCAGCTTGGGGCTCTTCCAGGGATGAATGATAACCATAAACACGAAGAGGAAACAACATTGCAGAAGATAGTGTGGGGATTTGAAGGCAGCGATGCGCTGGAATGCAGTCACTGGAGAAATTTGTCCTGGCGAGGGAACTGGCACTCTGATCAAAGCCCCCCCTGCACAGGGTATTTTAAAAGATTGTCTTCTGCCGATTAATCCTCCCACCAGTCTTCTGTATGTGAGTCAAAAAGTTGTTTTTTAAAATAAAACCAGGTTTAATCTCATTAAAGTGTTTGGTAAAAGGTATCTGCCAATGGGATTTCCTTAAACCTGCTTTGAAACTTTATACCTCAAAATGTTTAATTTTGTGACATTTGGTGGTTTCACATGGTAGTTAGTGGTTTCAGACCTGGAGCTTTAGACAGGGTTAATGCAAGTAAGCAGGTTTGCAGCAGAGGAGGGAGGAGGGCGTGACAGAATTTGGAGGCCACGTGGGGTAGCCAATCGCAGAGAGGGCTGGGATTTCGGTCATCCCCTCTAAAATCCGAGACGCTGGAACTATTTCTGTGGACGGCTGCTGTGCTGTGTGGTTCCTGCTTTTCCTCGGGGGCGCTGCTCTCTCGTCGTTGGTATGGATATAAGGCGGTCCAGCATGGTGACGTTGCGCTCACTCTGGACACTTGGGAATGGGACCAAAGTTTAAAACGGAAACATGCAAACGTGTGGATATTTATTTGGGTCCCGTTGTCAGTGCTGGATGTTGCCGTTCCCTTTGGTATTGAAGGATATATAAAAGGAGGAAGGCTCTTGTTTCATGGCAGTGAACTTTTCCTCGCTGTCCTCCTGCTTCCCAAATCCCCACAGACCCAACGTTTAAGGCACAGTGCGTTCTCTTCAGCACTAGACATGTTGGTCCAGAGGAAATTAAGGTTTTCATTTTAACGTTGGGGGAGATTTCTGCACGAACTGTAGTTGAATGTCCTCAAGGTAACTAAGAGAGGTGGTGGTGGGGGGGCACCTAATGGAAAAGATGAGGCGTGCTCATTTGCTAGGGGAAATTGATCAGGAATAGTGATTTCCTGATGGATTCTGGAGTTGGAAATATGGTGTGGTCTTAGTCTTAATGCCCTGGGAGAAAGTGATCTCCCTGTGCTGATCTTTTAATGGAGGGAGATTTTTGCTGGATGCCACAGTGGAATCTCCTAGGTGCCTCCTCCACTTCTGTGATGTGTTGTTCTCTTTGCTGTACACAGTGTTTGTGGTCTGCCAACCCCTGAAGAAAACTGACAATAAGCAATGTTTTCTTACAAAGAACATACAGTGGGACTCTGAACCAGGCATTGCTTTTTTAGACAATAAAAATTAAACTTGATTAAAGTTCAGAAACATAGGAGAAGCCACCCAGGCTTATTTTTTATACTTGCGTCAGATGCTTGTACTTACTGTACAGCAAAATGTCAGTTTCAGTGATGTGGGCTTTAAAATGAATAGATTGCAACCACAATTTACAGCAAACAGCAAGACTTTATATAGTTTAGTCAGCAGTGAAACAGATGCTTATTGAATGAGCTGTTATAATGTACGCACTGCCGTGCAAACGTCTTAGACGAGACATTTTGCATTAATTCTGATCTTTTCAGTGAGTGTTTTCTTTTTCTGCAGGAACTCAATTTAATGTCGGTCTTCTGGAATATTACTTGTTTTGTTTTAAGCCTGCTATTAATCCTGACAGATCTGTATTTTGTAGTAAAAAATGTATCCCTTTAGCTTTCTGGCTGTGTAAAGAGGAACAGGTGATGTTGATGACGAGACGCTCCTGATGAGTCAATTAGACTTGATGGGTAAATGTGATGGATGAGCTGCTACAACACTTCATATTGCCTGCTCCTATATAGATGACATTGAGTTCGGATCAATGTGGATTAAATATGCTAAATGACAAGGTTGTAAGGCTTTTTTTTTCTCACTCAAATCTAGAATGGATTAATAACTTAAGTGTTATACTAGAAAATGCTGGTGGGGGGCTTGGGTAAATTATTGATTCTTGTAACATGTATGCATTGTAATTCCTCACTGTGCCTAAGATGCCTAAAACTTTTGTATAGCAGTATATACTGTATGTTCTATACATCTCTGGGTGGCCCACAGATCCAGAAAAACAGCTTGTGGTCCTTTCTACAATGACAGTTCTGTTGCCAAGGCTAATCACATGTTGCACTTTGCAGCTTCTCATTTTAATTGCAACAAAAAGTATTGATTTCAAGCTTAATGAGATGCATTTGCTTTCAAAACACAGCATGTCATTTTGCCTTACCATCTGCTTCTTTTAAATCAAGCCCATTTTTTTCCCGCTAATGTATTCTGTTCCAAATTCCTTTAAGATGATTGCTTATCAAGACCGACCCATATAAATTAGCTGGAATGACAGAGGAAGACGGGCAAAGACACGGATGTGTTTGGGTTTGATAAATTGTCTGCGGATGGCGCATTTCTTTTGTTTCTTGCTGTGATTTTTTTTTTGTTTTGTTGCTCTTGACGAATTAGAGGTAACAATTTGGAGGATCAGAATTGTAATTACCGGATGAAACGAAAGGCTTCAGCTCGTTTAGACTAAAAAACAAAACAAAGGAGGAATGCCAATTGCAGACAAGCAGTTTGTCTTGTGCTTCTCCAGCTTGATAAATTGTTTTCAAAAAAGCCATTATGTACAAAAAAACATTAGTGCTCAAAACAGTATTTATTACTGACACTCTGAACAAGCGGTGCTGAAGGAGCTAGCATAAGTAATATCAGGGATCCTCTCTGAGGACTGAAGAGCTGTGGAGGCAGAGCTGACTAGACGATTTCCACCTTTTGCAATTCCATTCAGTGTCCTGTTCAGCTGGTGTGAGAAGGATGTTCTCCATGGGGGTCAGTATAGTACATTCCCAGTCTCAGACATCCACAGCATTTCTGTCAAGCAGGAGAATCTATGTCGGGCTACAGCTCTTGGAAGGCAGCAGGGTCAATCTGTTGTTCATTCATCCCGGTCTCTTGATTAGTTTGTTAACCTCCTTTGCTTAATTAAAATAATCTAACACTTTAACACGTCTTTAAATAAACTGCTTACGTATGCCAATCCATTCCCACACAGCTACAAAAACAGATGCATTGGGAAGACTCATCACTGGGACAACATTGGATAACACCAGTGCTACTGATAATTTTAATGAGTAAGATGATAAAAGCTGCTAAAATAAGATGTCAAAACATGTAATAAGAAACTGAAATTGAACAAGTGTGTGGTTTCAGCATGCTGAAATTTGTTTGGACCAGAGCTCTGCAATCCTGTTTATTGTTAACAGGTATCTTAGGTGAAGGAGCTGATGTTGTCTTTTTTCCAGTGTAGTGCACTGTTCACCACTGATCTCATTGCTTTGTGCTGGGGAATTAGCCATGTTTCTAAAGACAGTAAGGGCTTGATGAAATCATTATTGTACTGCAATTTGAAAGCTAAAAGGCTGCCACCCTTTTATTATCTCATTGTGAAGGGCACAGGGGATTTTAAAAACCTTTTTTTGTGCATAAGTGAAAGCAGGGAAGATACTTGTTGTGCAATCCATCATCATCCAGTCTGAGGCTAGACTTAAGGATCAGTTGATGAAGGGGAGGGTGAGATGAAGAGAGAATTAATGTGTGTGACCAGTTGATGCCCTCTTTGTGATTAATTAGAGAGCAGTTCAGTCACACACTCTCAAGCGTGCCCAAACACCCACCCACCCAACAGCTTCCCACCCCCTACACATGTCAGCGTGAGATGTGTGAATGCTGGATCTCCAGGAGCGGTGTGTGGAGTAGGTTATGCGTTGTTCAGAGACATTTTAATTATCATCAGTGAATTAACCCAGATCTGCGCTCCACCTGAGATGCAGTGGGCGTATCCTCAGAGCCCTACTTGGCAGGAGGTTGCAGCCAGGCCTGTTGTTTGTGGCTTGAGAAAAGGGCAGCACCTTGTAAAATAGCTGGAGATTATGTACAGAAAAATATTTGCCTGCTGGGCGTTCTGGACAGCTCGTGCTAACAGCAGCACTTATTCTGCCAATTTACATTTGCATTCTACGGGAACATTTTTTAAAGAAACTTCTGAAAATGGAGGCATTTATGTTTCAATTTGCACAGAGAAGGTAGAAACTTTTCTTCATAAAATATAAATGCAAGAGTGTATCGTAAATGCTGTACGCTAAATGCTAAGCTTTTACATAAAACTGTGATGATAAAACATCATGTGCTGTGAAAGTCAGATCTAGGAAATGGGCATAGTAGACAATCCACAATGTCTGCACCTCAGCAGGAAAGAAACCAGTGTGATAATGTGTGTAATTGCAATTTTATTACACAATTCCAGTGTGTTTAATAAGACTCTTTTTCATGTATTGATCCTTATGCGTAGGTTTACTCCAATGAACTGATGCTTTAGTGCCCGATTTAAAAGTGCTTTACATTTTGAAACCAAGGTGAAGTGTGTGGATGTCCTTTCTTCTATTAAATGCTGGACTGTTTCTGTACACTGCTTTGAAATGAACTTCGTCTTATACGACTCCTATGGGTGCCTAGTCTGCTCCTCCAGTCCTCACAGCCGTGAAAGAGTTCAGCACCTTGAACTACAGAAAGAACAAAAACAGGTGAAACCGTGGTTGAAGGCTTTTAATAATTGTGTGAGTTTGAACTGCTGAGAACTTTCAAGCAGGCAAGGACAGGTGAGCATCAGCCTGCTCTTAGTTAGCAAGCTTGATTTAGGGGAGTGAAAGGAATTTGGAGCTGCCAGCTGAAACTCACCTGAACCCGGAGAGAAACTCAGACACTTGAACCCAGCGTGTAAAAGCTGTGAGGTAGTTACCCTAGCTGACATGTCACTATGCTAACGTCATGCTTGCGATGTATGTGATCTAATTGTGGACCATGGTTCTATAACCCTTGCAAGGTCACAAGAGCTTTCTGTTCAGTTACTGGGCACATAAACACGTTTCCCTGCTTGGAGGAAGGCTTTTGGCATACTGCAGGAGTACAGGTGCTTTTTCTTCTGCGTGGAAGCCAAGCAAAACAGGACTGTTTTGTGTCTTGTGGAATGTGAACGAGAAAAGCGTTCTCGCTCCAAATGAGTTGTAAGGTGTCAGGGAATGTCTGAAGGTCAGGTATAATGGTCTGCCAAGATTGAGGGGAACTAGAGAATCCGGCAATCGACAAGAGCAGTTTGAGGCTGTGTTACGGTTATATAACAATGCACTAGGCCAAGAGAATGAAACAACCTTTTGTATTTCCACTAGGTTCCTTTCAGCCAAGCTGTCCCTTAGGAAAGGATGCAGTGTTAGTGACAGGGCCCAGTGTCTTCAGCATGACTGGTAACACTTCTAACCAGGCTCGCAGGTGTGTTTCCAAGTAACTGAACAGTACTTCCACTTAAGTGCCTAATATCAGTAATCCGCTGTAAAATAAATCAGGTTAATTGTTCTTGCTCAGCTGAGGAGATTGAAGAACTGCAGTCAAAGCCAGGACTCTCTTTGTCCTTTGAACAACCTGTTGTTTGGAAACCAAGCACAGCTACTGACAGAAATCCCCTTTCTAGATGAGGCTAACTTTGTTGCAAAGTTATTATTTGTTGTTATTTGCTGTTTTTTCCTCCTAAACAATTAGGAACTCTTGGTGCACAATAAAATATTGTGTTCTGAAAGCAGAAAGGTGGCAGGGGTGATTAAAAAAGAAAAATGCAAAAAAAATTAAACTGCAAGAGAAATGAATCATCAGTGGCAGTGATCTGCGACAGTGATCAGATCTATGCACAGCAAATCAGATGTAGCCATCAGCACTGTGCATAAAGCTCTCCTGTCACAGTGGGAACTAGACATAAGACTGCACCGAAGCAGACTGTAGGTTAAGAGCACAGCACTTTTCTCAATGGCATGGCCACCCTGCTCCCAGTGTCTGCTCATGCGTGATATAAAAATAGTGTTTGGCATTGAAATTGGGGAAGCGTTTGTTCCCCCCATTTTCAAGGAATGAGAGAGCTCCTACACAGCACATGTTTTAAACAGGTGAGAAGTTGCAGGAAATTTGGTGTGCTTTGTTCTTGAAGCAGAATTGTACTGCTATGCTTGATGCATTTAATTCGGCAAACCACACTAAATAATCAATTCCATATTTTCATATGTCCTAACCCCTGAAAAATACATTAACCTTTTTAAAAATACTCACCTTCATGTGCTGTGACCCTGACAGATATGGAAAATTGCATGCCCTGAATATGATATGTAACGACTCTCTGTGCAGAGCTGTTTACTTTGGGTGTCTCTTCTGATTTTATTGGAAAAAACACACTACCATATTCAGTATAGGGCAGGAAATTTCAAAGGTGCCTTGTTCCAAACAGCTGGCCGCTGCCATGATTAGCCACCTCTGGTCCAGCGTCAGTGGTTCTGGGCTGGGTTGGTACTGGTGCTGACTCAGGCAGGGCATCCTCAGACCAGACTTGCTGGGTGTAGCGAGAGCTGCCTGACATGGAACTGTGGGAGATGATGAGTGGACATTTAAGAGGAAAGCATGCATGATCTTTAGCAGGAAAATTAATGTTTGTTATAAAGGAATCAATTGATGTGGCCCATCAAGCTCATTTTGGCTCTGGTTAGCTATAGGAATTTAGAGCACCCAATTGTTTTTTTTACACCTAACCTGCATGTCTTAAGGAGGTAAAAACACCTGCATATGTGGGGAGAACATGCAGACCCCACACAGACAGGTATCCTGGATTTGAACCCAGGACTCTGGAGCAGCGAGGCAGTAGAGATCACTGTCATCTCATCCAGTAGTGCCATACCTAATTGATCCCAAATTTAGTGTGACCATAAAAATATTGAAAATTACAAAATTCGAAAACAAGACATCAGGGGATTACTTTTAACACC